ACTGTCCGATACAGTGCTGGAAGATGAGCGTCCAGGTGGGAAGGCACTCCAAATACACAGTAGCCACAGCAATGGACTCAAGCAGGAGGACAATCACAAAGATGGCACAGGGCAGAAGGTGGTGTTCTGTTTCATTGCCCATGGGGTTGGGGTGAAACCAACTCAACAACAAGTAACAACAACAAGTGTAAATTTACACATTAGTAGAAGCTGAACAAATAAGAAATGGAAAGATTAGCAATAGGCAAAAGAAAAACGATCATTAAAGTGCATGACAAATCCTTAGGATTCAACCAAAATTGTCCACATGCCTGAGACATTAACGTTTTCTCTGGATGCCTTAAACCGTAAGCATACTCCATGCCCACATCAAACCTCAGATTGCGATGAACACTCTTGTCTGCTAAACACACACTTGACTGCGCTGGGTTTCATAAAGTGATTTTAATAGAAAAGTACAAGATATGAACAAAAAATAAATAATCTTTATCTCATTTCTAGTCCAGCAAATTGTACACTGCATATAAAAATGGTCTAAATTCAATTCTCCTCTGTTCCTTGTCTGCTTTTAAAATACTGAGACATTTTAGCTAAATCTTCTAGATTCAAATTGATACAGTAAGAACATCATACCAACCTTCAATCATTCTACTTCCACTCTGTTGACTAACAGGATGATGTTTCACTAAACATTAAACAATCATCAGATTTAGATGTAAAGTTGGTGTGAATAGGTAGATTGGAAGATCCTTTTTCTAAGTTTTAATTACTATGCTTCTGAGAGTTTCCTGAATTAAAAATTCATTTCATCATCTTACTTTCAAAACACAGCATCTGGCTTTTTCACCATTTCATCAAGAGTGGAGACTAGAAAAAAGTTTTTAAATTTTTTTTTTTTACAGTACACTTTACCGTGATCATGCATTATTTTAGATCTGTGCCTTGGTGCATGTTTGTATTAAATATATTCTTCAAGTCATAATTACCTTTTCTATCTATCAATTTCTCTATATATTTATATTACAGACCACTCAGTCTGTGGGGACTGTTTTTACTAATCATCTCCTAAAGTCAGTCAGTACCAGTCTCTCATTTACAGTACGTATCCCACTGTGGATAAGGAAGAGCGAAGACGAATTGATGCTTTTGAATGATGTGTTGGGAAGAACACTGAATATGCCTTGGACTGCTGGAAGAACGAACCAATCTGTCATACAAAGGGTCGCTGAGTTGAAACTGCCTTGATGGCACCTAACAACAACATCCCACTATAGCTTCATACTTGATCATTTCAGTGGCTTGAATAGTGCTGTGTAAAAACAAACTGAAAATTGGTATTGGCAAAATCATGTAAGAAAAATGTTTGAGTAGTCTACTAAAATATATGTAGTACCAGTCTCAGGAGGTCAGAAACCCAAAGAACTGAACAGATAAACTGGACTAAAACCTAAAACAGTCTCTTTTTCCCTTGAGCTCATAATACTATTTTGAGTATGACTGTTTGCTACTGCCTATATATGAATTTTTGTTAATTTTCCTGTATTAGGAAGATCTTGAACGCATGCCAGGAGGAGAAAGGGAAAAAAAGAAAAAAAAAAAAATGCTGACACTCCTAAATCAAGTATATATTTTTGCAATAAAGAACACTGGTCAATATACAACTGAGGAAAAACTGAAACAGATGTGAGCCCTAGAACCACAAGAGTTTGAACTTGCCCAGAAATGCTATTTTAAACACTCTATATGTTGGTCTACTGTTTTTCTGTGGAATAATGCATTCTTGGCATCCTTAAAAGATTTCAATATGTTACAAGGTTATCCGAAAAGAAAAAAAAGGCTAACGTATCAATCTGGGCAGCTCCCACCAGATCTCGGTGTACATTTTCGTATTAATTGCACTAAACACAAGGAACCTTTAGTTTCCAGTGACTTTTCATTCTCTGCAGACTGAGGCTTGTTTTTTATAAAACTGCTTTCAAGGGGCATGGGGACACCACACATGGTCCATAGAGAATGCAAAGAGAGAGGTGCAATAGTTGGCAGTGGTAAATACAAAGATACATTTTTTTAGACTAAAAATCTGGTTATGGATAAAAGCATGTGCCTTTTTGGTTCTTCTCTGGGCTGTTACAACAGCAACACGCTCTAAAACAATTAAGTTACATGCATAATGCTGAAAGAATGTGAGCAATACTGTAACCAGCTTTAAACCATCTGCTTGATTTCTTTATAGGAGAACACATATAGGAAAAGAGAATTCTCCTTTTGTTCCCTTACATATAGAAATCTTTTGAAGCTTCCAAATACAGTTTGGTTTTGGTACAACTCTCTACTCTTCCATTATTTTGACATGTAGTCACCCTAAACTATCCCTAAGATTTCTCCAAAACTCTCCACATGAATTATCTGAAGGACAATTGAAACCACTTACCAATATACAAGTAACGTTTTATTTTATATTCTATCTTCCATTTGGCATAAGCCTTTCAACGTGAGTTTAAAAAAAAAGTGAAATATACAAATCACACAAGAGAGAAATATGTACAGTAAATGTATAGAATAAAGGTCATAGGAGATATACATATCTGAATGACAAGTAGACTATTTTACATTAAATAGTTTCTTTTAAAAGCTAGGATTGTTAAACTCAGCTCTCTTCATAAACATGAATCACTAAAAAGAAACAAAATCTGACTTAGCAAATAAAAATTACTTCATGGTTTTTGTATAATAAAAACCAAAAAAGTGACAATTTAAACTAATCAGTGCTTTTTAATTTCAAGATCTTTTGTTTGCAACTTACTGCAATTGAGGGGAAGTGAGTATCCTTGTGCAATAAATTAAGAGTCACAGATGGCTGAAGTGACGTGAATGCCACCAAGCTTATGAAGGTTGTAGGAGATGTGTGTCTTTCCAAACTTCTGGAGCAATGTAAGTCTGGTATAAGAACCATTTGATGGCAATTTTTTGAAAAAAAGTGTCCTTGTTTAAAAGAACTAAACAAAACAAGTAGCTACAGCTTTAATGAGCTGGATTTTCCTTAACCCACTGCCGTCAACTCTATTCCAACTCATTGTGACCCTACAGGAAAGAGCAGAACTGCCCCACAGGGTTTCCAAGGCTATAATCTTTAAGGAAGCAGATTGCCACATCTTTCTCCCATGGAGCACCTGGTAACTTTAAAACATCAACCTTTTGTTTAGCAGCTGAGAGCTTTACCCCTGCACCACCAGGGCTCCTTGGACTTTCCTTAGGGACTGTCAAACCCAACAGGCACTAGTTTCCATTCTGCAGAGTAAACTATGAAAAAGGAAATGTTAACGATGCTTCTGAGTTGTGAATACTTCACAATTTCCATGTCTCTGATGAAAAGTAATGCCCTCTCTAGAAAGTATACAGAAGTGGAGGTTGGAGAAAAGGATGGGGGAGGAAAGACCAAATAAATCTGTAAATCAATGTGCATTTCAGTGAGTCGGTCCTTCAAGATTCCTCAAAAACAAGGCTGTTTTGTGGTGTTCAAGTTACGATTGCGTCAGAGCCACAACCTAAGCTCAAGAGTAAGAAAACTTCTTCTGGGAAAAAAATCCCAATTTGGACTGCAAGAGAGGCTGCTGATGAGAAATAACCCCAAAGTAAACTGTTAATCTAAATCACTGGCTGCACTGAGATATAATTATATTTATATTTATATATGTATATTATATATATATGTATATATATATTTTTTTATGTACAAGACTTTGAGATATCAGGCACCATTAAACCACATCTTCCCCCCCGTTATAAATGTAACTGTTCAAGTACACTAGGAACAGTTTTAGCATACACCTGCAGTATAATAGGAAAAGCTCAAGTGGATAGTCTAAACACAGGATCATAACAGTGAAATGCGTCAACACCTCTGTGAGCTCCATTATCTCCATAGCATCAGTAAAGTATAAAACAACTGCTCCTCAAAATAAAAGTTTCAGGGGAAAAAAAAAAAAAATCCCTAAGAAGCAAACTATTTCCCAAGTGGAGCTCCTAAGGTTTCAGTTCCTCTCCTACAATCAAACGGGACGCAGTGGAGCTGCCGTTTGGAAACGTGGCCAGCATCCTGGCGCATGGAGGAATCAGACAGGGCTTGGGGTCAAGAGCGGAGGGCAGATTCCACTTTTCTTTCTCAAATAGGTTTTCTGTTCTAGTGCGGTGCTGAACGACATGCAATTAATTACCTTGGTTGTCTGGGCTGCAAAACTGTGAATGGAATTCATGTATTATTTTCATTACAGTATTATCATTTATTAACCAAGTATCCCCAGTAAAATTACAGTATATTTCCTTTTATATTCAAGCCAACTCCCCTCTCCCAAACAAAAGTCTAGTACCCAGAATCACTCTGGGGAGGATCCTTTTCTGATAAGAAAATGTAATTCCTAAAATAGCTTCAAATCACTGTGTTAACAGAGGAGTTTTAAAGGTTTTTTTTTTCTTTTTTTTTCCAATTCCTGGAGATTTTCCTTCCTACTATCCAAGTTTCACTGGGTTTTAGAATAGAACCATCTGCTGAAGGATGAAACACATGGTAGATGTTTTTCCTTAAGGGATATGAAGTTCTTACTCTCAAATTTTAAACTACCATTTAATAAATGTAAAAAGTAGGCAGGCAGCCCCCTGGGAAGGGGATCTCTCTTTTTTTGTTTTTTTTTTCCCCTCAAGACCCCACCTTAGGCCTTTCAACCGTCACCAGAGCATTCACAATTCACTTGGGTCACCAAAGCTGAACTGTGCACAGATCTGTACCGCCCCCTTCCAACAAGATCCTACCCATCCCACATGACCCCACATTTGAGAAAAAGAAAACATTATTTCCTTTACCTTCTGGATGTCTACCACATCCACAGCTAAAGTAGGGTATGTATTATTTTCCCCTGCTCCTATACCTTCACAAGAAGTCTTGAATTACCTTTTAAAAGATCCACAAAATAAATACTTTTCTTGCCCCCCCCATTATTGCCAGATAATAATTATAATATTAATAACAAACCACAGAGTTCTTAGATGGGAACAGGGTAAAAAAAAAAAAAGGTCCGGTTGCAACTGTTGGGAAAAAAATAAAACAATATTTAAAAAAAAAAAAAAACAAACAGAAGCACTGTACTTTCTATAAATAAGTGGGTCCTGGGAGTAGGGCTGGGTGGTGGAGCAGGTGGAGGGGCACCCACTATTTGCACACAAACTGGTCCACAATCTCTGTGCACTTCTTGCACTTGACGTAGCAGCACCAGTGGAACTTGCAGTGGCAACGCTCTGTCTGCACGGTCTTGAATTGGTCATAGCCGCGGCCACAGCACATGAGTTCACAGCCGTCCATGCCCTCAGAGGTCTTGTTGCATAAGCGGCCCTGAGTGCCCAGGGAGCCAGTGCTCTCATTGCGCACACAGTAGTCGGGGCTCGGGTCAATGTAGACCAGGTCCTGCGTGGTGGGCGAGTTGAAGCGGCTGTTGACCTGTACCAACTTGCCTCTGCTGTTAAGCCGCATAGCTGCAGCACTGTCATACTTCTCCTTCAGGGCATCACCCACCTTGCGGAAGTCTGCTAGCTGCAGCCAGCATGTCTTCAGGCTGCAGGAGCCGGACACCCCGTGGCACTTGCAGGCCACATCAGCCAGGTTGTACACCGTCTGCAGGGAGACAGAAGACAGTCAGTGTACAAATCCATGGGAGAAGCAGATGCAGGCATAGACCATGCAAACAAAGCTCTCTCTGACTTTCTAGAGGGATCCATGTTCACCAGTTAATTACTAGTAAATCAGTTGCTGTCAAGTTGATTCAGAGTCATGGCAACCCAATGTGTGTCAGAGTAAAACTGTGCTCCTTAGAACTTTCAATGGTTGATTTTTTTTGGAAGTAGATTGCCAGGCCGTTCTTCTGGGGTGCCTCAAGATAGACTTAAACCTTCAACCTTCCAGTTAGCAGCCAAGTACGTTTGCACCACCTAGGGACTCCAAAATTAGGGGCTGTGCCGTTTGTTTCCCATTCTCTACTCTCAGAAGTCTTTTGCTGCCTTCTTTAAAAAGTCTACAAGATATTTTCTTAGTTCCCACTATAACATAACAATAATAATTAAAGACAATTACATGGTTCTTGAGTGGGAACAGGAATAAAAAATCACTCCAGTTGTTTCTATATTTTGCAGGGAAATAAAAACAGTATTAGCAGCAATTAAAACATCTTGAATACTTATCCCAGTGACTGTTTACAATCTCTTACCTGCATCAGCTGGATTAATACATACTATCAGTCTACAAGGGAAGGCTACTATGATGCCCACTTCAAAAAGAAAATAAGGCCCAGAGAGGCGAGGTCCTCAACTAACCTCAGGAAAGTAAGGGTGCCAGGACTTGAACCCTGACAGCTGGACTCTAAGCTCATAACTCAAGGGCACTCAGTTGGTAACTGGTGGGGCTGAGAGGCAGTTCAGCTCAGTTGGCACCTGGGTTCAAATCTTCCCTTACTATTAGAATTATTGCTGAGTGCCAGGTATTGCCACCAGGGCCTTTACACCTCTTATCTCATTCATTCCTCCCAGCAACATTTTATCACAGGCTAGATCACAAATGGTGACAGAGAAACAGAGAGGCCTGCACAGAGGGATCACACAACTGGCATGAGGAAGGGATGGGTATAGATGATCTGGATCTCCCTCTAGTTTCCTGCACCCCCCATTGCTTAGGCCAAGAGCACCCACTCTAGAGCCAGGCACACCTGGGTTATATTGCTGATTCTGCCCCTGAATTCAGGCCAACTGGCTTTACCTCTCCAAGCCTCCATTTTCTATCTTTTGAGGGGACTATGATGGTACCAAGCTTCCAGCATTGTGTGGAGGATGGAAAGAACTAGGGGATGCTTACAACATGCTTAGAATGAGAATGTGCTTAATAAACTACCAGTCTTTCCCAAAGGCACACTGGTGGTGCAGTGGTTAAGCACTCAGCCCCTAACCAAAAGGTCAGTAGTTCAAACCTACCAGTGACTCTTTGGAAGAAAGATGTGGTAGTCTGATTCCATAAACATAACAACCTTGGAAAGTCTAAAAGGCAGTTCTCTTCTGTCTTACAGGGTTGCTAGGAACCAGAATCGTCTAGATGGCAGTGGGTTTGATTTGGGTTTTAGTCTTTCTCAGGGTAACAACCAGCCACTCCTCGGAAGGAAAGTTGGGCAATCCTACTTCCATAGTGATACTGCCTCGGAAACCCAAGGAGGGGTCACTATGAGTCGGGGCCAACTCGACGGCACATAACAACAACGTGCCTGCTTATTGTTTGGCTGAAAGTTGAGACATAGGAATGAGTTCAGTTGCAGGCTTTAAAAGTGTCTAAGGGCCATAGTTCCACCAATCCCTATTAGACCAGTAAGCCTGGTCTTTTTCATTGTTTTGAGATTTATTCCACATTTGTCTTCCACTCTAGCCAGGCTCTCCTATGGTGATTTTTTTTCAGAGTGGTTGACAGTGGTATCTAGGGATCACTTAGTTCTTCTAGTCCCAGACTCATGGAGACTGAAGATTTCATGGTATACTGTACTAACTGTACTGACTAATTGTTTCCATGTGTCTTTGATTTTCTTCACTCTTCTTTGCTCTGGATGAGGAGAAACCAATAGTTGCACCTTAGATGGTTGCTCACAAGCTTTTACTACTTGTCAGTCACTACTTGCCAAAGTAGGATGTAGAACGATGTCTTTGTGGACTATATTATGCTAATTGACCTTGATTTCCCCTGTGACTATGGTCCTGAGCCCACTAGTCCAGCCATCTACTCCCTCAAGATATTTGGTTATGGCTAACTTTGCCTCCTCTGTGCTCTACATATTTATATATGGATATTTTTATAGCATGTACAAATATGTATGTAGAAATACTATCTCCCAAACTTTTATATAGTCATAAATATAGTTCTAAGAGAGAATGGCCAGACTTCGTCTCACTTATTTTGGTCATGTTGTCAGAAGGGACCATTCCCTGGAGAAGGATGTCATGCTTGGTAGGGTGGAGGGCCGGGGAAAGAGGGGGAGGCCTTCAATGAGATGGATTGACACAGTGGCTGCGATGATGGGCTCAAGTATAGCAGGGATT